TTTGTGCAACACATTGTTTGTGCATTTAAATCTGCCTTTATCTACAATGATGAACATTTTAATCGAAATAAAAGAAAAAACAGAACCAAAATAGGCAAAACAATTGTCAGATTTTTTTGGTCTTACAAAGCAAATGGCGCAGAAAAATTTGGAAAAAGAAGATTCTTAAATTCTTTTCTTCGAACGCCCAATTAACCACGTGATAATAAATTTGAAAAGAAGTAAAAAAAGGTAAAGATAATCAAAATCGATTTCGAAAGCTTATTTCCAAGACGAAGATAATTGTAAGCACAGATGTCAAAATATTTACGTCACGCAAATGTTCAAACGAATAATAAAACTTTTTTTTAGCTACTTATGTACATATAAGCTTATTGGCAGGATCATGATAAGGGGAAATATGACTAAAATTGACAATTTGTACGGAAAGTTCATATACCAATATGCAATGGAGTGTCCGCGATCATCAAAATAGTGTCATTTAGAAAATGAAGAGTACGAAAAAAGGTTTTTTTTTTTCTTACAAATTATTGCACAACATTCACAACATTCATAACATTCATAACATTTACAGCATTCACAACATTCACAAAATTGTAATTCACAACATTACATTGATCAAATAGTAAATAAATTTATTGAAATTATTTTATTTCGGATTCTTCTCTCACCCCTTTAAGAAAATCAACCCCTGAGCACCGTTATTTTCGCGGGATTTCATTTAGCATTATTATACACTTTAACGGGAAACAAAACATTTATTAAACAGAATCGAGTTGTTTTAGCGTATTTAGTTTTGATGCACATTATCATTAAATCAGCTGTTTGTTTGAATATATATATATTTTTTTTATATAGTATAAAGTTTATTTTGTTTCAAAAATCAAAAACCAAAAAAATCCACGCAGAACGAATTTTTTTTTTTTCCCGCGAAGTTCAAGAACCGAAATGAAACAAATCATTGAACAATATAAGAATTTACTTTTTTGAGGTAAGATATATTACGGAAAAGAATTTACTGTTTTGAGATGTGAGAGATTGCAGAAAAAGGAGAATAAAAAGGTACCAATCATTGACGAAATTTCATGAAACCTAACAACAAACAAACAAACAAGAATTCAAACGGGTCATTGCCAAAAAAAATTTGTACCCTTTACTTATTTCCTAAAGAAACGACATGTTCCACGCCATCTCCGCCGCGTTCACTCATTGTAGACAAGAAAGGAACATCCGGCCATAAAAAATTACACGGCATAAAGGAGGGCATTCCGCACGATGTTGTTGCAAGTTTTGAAGTAGTAACATTGAATAGGTAGGTTATTCTTTCTAAACTAAATTTAGAACATTAATTTTTCAGTTGAATCCGATCTTATTTTTCGGTCCAATCCTAAGAAAGGTTATGTTGACTATTATTCCAATTAAAGAATACAGTTGATGAAATTTCTAAAGTTAGTACACAAGCAAATAACTATTTTTTTCTTTACCAAATAAAAATCATAAAAATTCTAAAAAATTTTATTTTGTTTCGCATTTTATCAATTCACAAACCGGTTCATAAAGCCATGCGAAGTATAATAATAGAAATATTGTCAGTTAGTTACGTATGTAAATATGCAACTTCAAGAGATTGGGTAATTGATCAACCCGCCATAGTCTATCATATCATGCAAATGATATCACACAAAGCTTATCACATCCGAGACGTTTTACCGCTAACAAAAAAATTTATTTGTAAATTTGTCATTGTACTATGAATTTTGAAAAGCACAATTGTTGATGAATTTGGAATTGTACAATTTACAAATTTGTAAAAGTAAAAAAAAAAAAATCAGGTAATTTATTTAAATTAACCGAAACTTCGATGAAAGATCATGGTGCAAGCCGAAATCCGTGAGTTTTCTGTATACGACAATAAAAAGGTATTCTTCTATTTCCTGAAGTTGCCTTTTTGGTGAATGAATGGTGCCTTATTGTAAATTTGCCATTTATGTTGTACCATGATCTTTTCTTTTTTTGCTGATTATTCCTCTTTTTAAGGTTTTGGTTTAATGTAATTTCATGCTATTATGCCAAGATAGCTATCCATTGTTTCCCTTTCTTTCATATAAGCTATTTTGTTATAAATACCTATTATGTGCAACAATATCTAATATGGAAACACCGCCTGCTTTTGAATTTGGTCAAAGATATTGCAGATAAGCCAGATTTTCATCTTTACTATATATTTTTTTTTTTAACAAAGAGTTTTTTTTTCTCAAAGATCGTCAATCATCATCATTTCCACTTTCAGCAAAGAATGCATTGCTCCGACATATAAAGACTGAGATCACTCTCCGTGTTGTGCAGCTCCCCAAAATCTTTTTTTTTTTTAAAAAAAAAAAAAAAATAAATAAAATAAAAAATAAAAAAAAATTTTTTTAACAAAAAATATATAAAAAAAATACAGCACTTTTTTTAAACGATTATATTAACGATTCATATATACTTCATTCCTAACTTTTAAATTTAAAAAAAAAAAAAAAATGTCATTTTATTGTTTTGAAACGAGGCAAGACCGAACTCTTGCACCTTATCCACCTCCAGAGTGTAGTCAACAACTTGACCGGATGTCTCCATCAGAAATTGTAGACCATATAATCGCAACAAATATTGACCCATCAACACTTGTAAAAATTGAAAAACAGATTGCAGTACCTCTTCGTCAACTTATTTCACCAAGAGAAAATCGACGTAGAAGATGTATTCCGAGACCTCAAAATAATTTTGTATTATACAGAAGAAATTTTCATGCAGTAATTACTAAAGAACGAGGTCATGCTGTGGCAAAAAATTTTAAACTTATTTCAAATGAAGCGGCTAGAAATTGGTCAGAAGAAAGTAATGAAGTTAAACAACTCTATGAATTAATAGCGGATTGTGCAAAAAAAGTTCATGACTGTACCTATCCTCAATATGTTTATCAACCAAAACATAAATCTTCAAAGAAAGGAAATAATACGATATTTAGAGAAGTTACCATGGACACTTGTAAACAACGATCAGAAAAATCTAAAACTGATCGTAATTCAAAGACTGAAAAAACACAAACAACAAAGCCAGCAAAATCATCAACAAAGTCAGCTGCGGCATCCATGACATTAACTATGACAACATTATCTTTAGATACACCAGTAAAATCAGAGTCACCATCCTTTAAAACATCATCTCAATCTGAACGGGATACATCTATAAAAGAATATCCACAACAACATTTAATTAAAGAATGGCGTTGGGCTCATTATGGTCAAACGGAATCACGTTCAGTTCATAATGAATATAAAGTAACACCTCAATCACCTAAACAAATGCAAGGTGTTGAAAAGATTCCATCAATCACTACTCATCCACCATCACAATCTACGGCTGCATCACTTCTTCCTCCTCCTCCTCTTGATATCCCTGTTTCCTCAAATTTCACTAGATATGATAAAAATGTGTGGAGTTTAGTTAATGGATTAACCAATTTGTAAATACAATTCATTAACTATTGGTAATAAGGGTCGAATTTGGATTCGATTTTGAATTCGAATTTATTATATATATATGTAGTTTTCTTTTTTTTTTTCTTTTTGTTTCATTTTACAATTCATAGCATTCAATTGTGAATTTCAATTATTAATGGTGTGCAAAAAAAAATGGTATATAATCATTATCGTTTAGAACCGCACGTCTTTTCTACATATAATTTGTTATTTTATTGTTTATTTTGCTTTTGGTATAAGTGATATCTATTATATATTTAGGTAAGCGTAAAAAAAAAAAAAGGAAAAAAGATAAAAAAAATTCTCAAGTTTTTTATTGTTGCATCCTAAAAAAAATTGTTTTTGTCGTGAAAGGATTTAGCAATAAGACTCTTTGTAATTGGAAATAATTAATAATTAAATAAACAAAAAAAAACAAAAAAAAACAGCTTAAAATATTTAAATACTATAATATATTACTATAATATTTAATATAATCCATTAATTAATTATTGACAAATTTTCTAACACTAAAACACTTTAAACCTCTTCGTTACTATATCTTACTACATCATTACTGTATAATTCATTTACGATAAATTCAGAAATTGGGTAACGCGAGATGTATGATGATCCGATTTACTCCGTACTTGCAAAGCTTTATCTGGCGTGATAACCATAAATCGAGATACATAGGTACACGCGATATTAAACCCCAAAAGATCAGTGTAACATATCTCTTTTCAAAGAAATGCCGACAACCCGAGATGATGATATCTAATTTCTTAATTTGGCTTATACTATCGATTGCTCTACGGATTTGTTTTCCTGATAATAAAATCTTGGCCTAATTCACGTGTCAATAATTAAAATTAGTTAAAGTTTTCTTTTCTGTATTAGTAAAAAAAATAAATAAATTATAACATGCTAATTCGTTCTGATAATCGATAACGAATAATTGTTTGAATAGCTTGTTCGTTATAATCTACATTAGTAGTTGTCTACATTAAGTTGTCTACATTAGTCGTTTACATTAATTATTTGTATTAATTATCTGCATTAATTAATTCGTGAATTTGCAAGAACCATTAACATTACTATACGTACCAATGTTTCACATCCTATGCTTAAATCCTCATCAAGTGATACGTACTATGAAATTACAAGGTAATCTTAATATTCCTTTTTGCATAATCTTATCCATACCTTAAACTCATGAGCACATGTACTCACGAAGATATATACATTATCGTACGTACATGAAACAAAATAATGGTTATCACTTTGTAAATAATGTTTGACATTCGGTGTTTGTAGCATTATCATTAGTTTATTTAAGTATAATATATATATGCTACCTAATCATATATGTAATATTTATATAATGTTAAACCATTATATATCGATATATCTGTATATCGATATATAAACTTATTCAATTTTCCGACACATATACAAATTGGTCATTTTTAAACGAGTTATTAAAATAGATAAAATAATTCATTTATCCCAACTAGCAAATGATTTCCTACATACGGAACAAATATCCTTAAATCGTTTAATGTATTCTAAATAACATTTCATATGCAAGGAATGTCCACACCCCGGATTAATAATCATCCTACCTCCACGTATTTCTAATGATTCTAGACATAACAAACATTCTTCTTGTTCATCATTCTTATTGTCTGACCTTAATTCTGAAAATACTTGTCCTGATGAAGAAAGAATTGATCGATTGACATGCAGTGATGGGCGTAAGGCTTGAGATGTTCGAGTCCTGCATAATGTTAAAGGTAAGGATCGTTGGTTGATGATTTCATTTAGAATATTCTTAGTTATTAATAATTGAATATCTATATTTCATTGTTTTGATGTTATATACCTAGTTATATCCCCTGTATTTATACATATTAATGTATCGTTATTATCAGATAAAAAATTCGTTTCATCATTAAAATATTCATTATCATCATAATCTTCTTCATTTTTATATACATTTAATGAATATTTATTTATCACTTCAAGAATGAGTGAATTATTAGTTCGTTGTAAATTGTCATGATTTGGATTTACATCACGGTCAGATGTATCTGATGTCATAACATTATCGTTATTTTGATTGGATGATGTAGAAAATAAAGTTGTTAATGGTGTTATATTTGTTTGAGTTAAATGTGATTGATGTGATTGAATATTTCTTGAAGTTGTCGTTGACTGACTTTTCTGTAAATTCCTATAAATAAATCGTTTGATTAGACTGGTTAATTGATGAACTGTTGGTGATCGTTGTTCGGTCATAGGTCGTCTTGAATCAACATCTATATATCGTACTGTATTGTTAACGTAATGAGAAGAGTTCGCGTCTTGCTGAGAGATATATCCTTGTGTCATTGCATAAGAGCTACGTTGAGATGAATCGCGTGTGCTTTCTGAATGATGAATTGGATAGGAAATGTTTCGAATGCTGATTCTTTTAGTAGACATTTGTTGGGACTATTGAGAGTTGGAAAGATAAGAAAACAAGAAATTCAAAGAAATTTTTTGTCGACAGGCTCTTATATGCAATTCATTTTCTGATATACGCTTTTAATCTTAAAAATTCTTTTCAATGTTTCTTTTCTAATCATTCCCCTAATCATACTAAAAAAAAAAAAAACTAATTATTAAAATCATCACACATTCCATTTGATAGTTCATATCATTATTATTATGCAATGATTACATCATATTTGGATAGTAATCTGGAGCTCTCATTATATGGATCTTTGCTACCACCCAACATTTTCCGATTTGGATAATTCGAAAAAGTTTAGACAAATATACTGATTCTCATTTACATTTTTGTCTTTATTGATTCAATATCTTATCGATAAACTTTTGAATCAATAAAAGGATTAACATGCGAGTAAGTACTGATATTAGCCTGGTCGGAAAGTGATTTTCCTAGCAAAGATCTCAATATTATATCACAATATTATATATTTTCAGATGTTCCGCTTCAGATGTCTTATGATCCAGAATTGATATAATACGTCATTAAAGTGACAGGCCCAATGTCCAATTATAAATAATAACTATTTACAAAGAAACCTTCGTTTCATGTTAAATTACCAATCTATGATAGTTTCTCTAATTTTTATAAATCCTTATGCATAATCTTTGTCATCAACAATAAATAAAAAAAAAGCAAATCATACAATCGTTTATTATAAAAAAAAAAATAAATATTGTTAGATTATTATTAAAAATTTTAATTATTAATTCAATCTAAATGTTAAAAAACCTAATTAGTCATCCTTATTAATACAAATTTAGTTAATTTCTCTTTGCGATATATAATGTATATTCCAACTTGATTGTACATCTGATGAATATGCAATATTGTCCATTATTTCATCATTAGAATAAGAAATCAAAATAGTAAGTATTCTTTTTCCTAATATGCTAATGAATAATTAGTTATCTAGATTTGTATGATCCATAAGTTTAGTCCTCATTATAACTAGAATCCGAAAAAGTTCTTGCTTATTTCGGTTATTAAATACTGTAATAAGTTAGTTCTTTATCAATGTAACCTTTTTTAGTGTTTATATACTTTATAAAAAGACTTGTTTGTCGCGATTTCGCGACAGATCCGGAAAAATCAAATATGGCACCGGAATTATAAGTTCCAATCACGTGAAATTTCCAATCTTTTCTTGATTTACAAACCAACTTTTGCCCCTAATGTAGATCTGAGATCCATAATTATATTTTAGACCGGGACGGAACGTCTTGAGATATAGTTGGTTAATTAAGGTTTAGTTTTTTTTTAAAAAAAAATTTATTATATTGATTTTAGCCTATATTAGCCTCAATATACTGTAACAAAAATTTATAAGCGACCTCTTGGTCTTATATTTTTATTAGTTATTATATATATATATGTACATAAAATCTTATTTACATGTTAAATATCTATACGTGATTTAGACTATTAACCCCACAATTATATAGACCAGGATTTTTGTGCTTCATTCCTATTATGTATTTGCATTACTTAAATTGCTTATCAATATAGGTGGCTAGGGTCGTTCTAAAGGCATTTGTAATTCTTACGGTTTACTTTCTGTATGGTGTTGGCTAGTTTTCATTTCATATTTTTATAAGATCTGATCATCACTTATACAACAGGTTTATTTTATCAGTTTATAGTTCTTAAGTTTGACATTTCTAGTACTTATATGTTCAATGATAACTTTTGTGTTATATATTAATAAAAATTTCCGTGTATTGGGTTTTATTTCATAGTATATTACTTTTAGCAGAGTTTATATGTTATTTTTAATAAAGTTATAATACAAAATTATTTCTAGTTTTTTTTTTTTTTTTTTTAATTTCAAAGTAAGGTTTTGCTCATATTTTTATTAATTTGTAAAAAATGTTTTTAAAGACTTTTCTGAATATAAATTACAAATTTGTTCTAATTACAAATTTACCACAAAAGCGAAATTCAGATTATATAAAGATTATTTAATTAATTTATCTGTAACTTAAACTTACTAAAATAATTAAAACTCATTTGGATTTGTTATACTTATATAAATATAAGTGGTTTTTAATTTAGTTGTATAAGTATTTTATAAAAAATTAATAAACTATAAATAAATATAATTTGTTTAATATAAATATAAAAATTGTTAGTTATTTTATTAATAGGTTTACTAAAATGCACAAATGATGCTAAACATTATAATTGTTATATTTCAAAAATGTATTAACTAACATCTCTTAAAGGTATTAAGAAAAAATGTTCAAAACTTCAAAAACCGTATACTAACTAAAATTTAGACCTTTATATCTAATGCCTATCTTACTTTGTAACTGCAAACTTATTAATATTATAAATATTATAAGTTCATTTTATAATTACTGTTTATTAATATATTGTATATAAATAAGATAATAAAATAAAAATAAATAATTTTTTTTTTCAGTATTAAGGTAACCTTTTTGGTCTTTTGACTTTTTATTAATACTTATATCAGGTATATATTTATACAGATGTATCTATATTAAACTATTAGATAAATGTACAATTGGTTACACATGTAACTTTTCTATATTATCTATTTAAAAAGTCTACTTAAAAGTTTTTTAGCTGTCATATCTAACATCTCTGCTTAGATGTTTTATTTAAACTCTCTGATCTGACTCTGGTATTAACTTCACCAGATCACTTGACCTGGATTCTTTCATTTTAACTTTAGATCTTGGATCAATTTTATCCTCAAAGTAAACCTACTAAAGTGAGTTATATATTTTCTATTTACTGCTAATCTAAATTTTTTACTATACCTAAAACTAATATTTGCAGTCAGGGTTATTTATTAAACTGTTATGACTTTTGTAAAGTTCATCCAAACCTTGATATCTATCTTTCTGATATCTTCTCTATTATTTCTTATTAGTCACAACTCAGAACCAACTAATGCTTCAGATTTTCAATTCAGATGACCTAGTATAGTATACTTATATATCTTTTTCATTTAGTGATTTTAGCAATCTAGTTGATGCATATGCTTTTTTTCTATACCTGTTATCTAGTTTATCTAACAATTTCTATAAAAATGTTTTATAAACTTTCAACAGTACTATTAAAAATTTATATTACATCTTTATTTGGAATTTCTAAGTAGATTTCTATCTTCTTAGTTTCTTAGCCTTCTATATCTAATAGTATTATTATAGGTTTACATCAAAGCCTTATATAATACTGGTTTTTTATATTCTTTTATATATGTGTAATATTATACTTCATATAGATGTTCCAAGCTACCAATATTAGATAAAGTCTGACTTGATGTATTTAAGATTACAGATGCCTCAAACTCAACTAATTAGTAAGAAAAGTTACTATAATACAGATATAATTTACAAAATTCATCATCTATGAGAATTGAACCTTAGATCTGCTATTTGAAGGTTGATAACCTAACTACTTCACTAGGTTGTCACATCCTAATAACTATAATTTATATAATAATTACATTATAAAAAAAAAGTATAAAGTTGTAGATTTAGTTTACAATTATATAATTAAGTCTTTATTCTTTATATATAATTTAAAAGCAAGTTTTTTTTTGTAAAAACTTTAATTAAATTTCAATAAAATTAAAAGCATAGTCTTATTTTTAATATTTTAAAAAAAACAAAGTATAAAGTTTGCTAATATTATTATTATTTAGAAATTAGAATTAAAAAAGTATAGCAATCTAATAAAGTAAACAGATTGTTAATCTTCAAGTTGCAAATCTAATATTTAAATCTTATAAACAATAAATTTTGAAAATTATATCTAACTGCTTTTTACTGATTAGTTAAATTTATGTATCTGTAATCTTAGTACACTAAGTTGAATTCTATTCAATATTAGAAGCTTAAAACATTTATGCAAATTATAATATTGTATATATATAAAGAAAATTATTTTTTGTGTTTAAGTTAATTATTACAACTATTTTTACAAAAATAAATATATAGCTAGTTACATGTACAACTTTTAGTTTTTTAATTAAGTAATTTACTTTAGAGTTTTATACTAAATATTATATTTATAATTAATTAGAAAAAACTTTTTAATTATCTCTTTTATTAATTATTTAATTACTACAAATCTTTTTATATATACTTAACTAGTATATTAATTGAGTAACACAGTATTTTTTTTTTTTGAACTAATACTCAAGTCATTATATATTTTAGTGCATAATATCTGTTAGTAAAACTTAAAAAGCTTTTTTGCTAACTACTTATCTACTCTATAAACTATTAATAAAAACTTGTTTTTGTAAAGTTTATCTGTACTTTAGTATCTAATTTATAACATATTTCTAGTACTTTAGAATACTTTTGCTTTATTCTTAAACTTTCAATTCAGATAGTTTAAAAAAACTGTAATTTGTTAAAGGTTTTTGTTATTCAAAATACTTTGTATTTAATTTTGCCAATAAAAATACTTAAGTTTTATTAAAGAAATCTTGTCAGTTTTAAATAAATTTTAAAAATACATAAATTTAAAAATAAAAGTACATTAAAAATAGAAGCTTAGTTCACTTATAAGGCTTACTAATCTATTTAGAAGATTTTGGCATATAATTAATAATAAATAAAGATAAAAATAGAACATAAATATAAATCATTACAAATTAAAATTAATTGTTAATACACATGTTAATCACATTATTAATAAGTAAAATTGCATTATAGAGTAAAGTAAATAAGTTATAATAATGCTTATCTATTTATGTTACATTTGCTAAATTAATTCTAATTATAATTAATAAACTGATAAACAAAATATAGCTAAATTAATTATAGTAATTAGTATGTAATTAAGAAAAAACTTAGAAAAATAAAATAAAATAAAATTATAAAGAAATTATAGTATTGTTACAATTTGTTTCTAGTATATTAAGTTTGATCTAATATTCTTTTTTTTTAGTTTAATCTAATAGTTTGATTAGTAATATTGTAATAAAATATATTAAAAATTAGCAATTTGTAATAAATTTTAAATAACATAAGTACTAAGTAAAAAATATTTTATTTAAAAGAAAATAATAAAAGAAAAATAAAAAATAAAAAGTTAAAAATAGAATTTAAATTCAATAGTCTTTTAAATATTATAAAATATTACAATAAAATTTGTATTTAACTAAATTCTATTGTATAATCTGTATAAGTTAGATATAACAAAATTAATTACTTTTTAT